AACATATGTACATACATCCATATTTATACCCATATATACATTCACACATACATATATTTCTGAATACGGTCCTGGTAACAGAAGAGTACCTTTTAAGCTTTACTGATTTTACAGTGTTATTAAGATACAGAGAACAGCACTGTGTATACCCAAATACTACATAAAATATTAAAAATAATATAAAATCAAAGCACATGTGGTTCAGTACACATTTAGTGATTTATACATTCAATAATATGCAAATATTTTAATACAATAGTCCATTATACAAATTACACGTATTTATGGGTCTCTGGCATATTAATTATGCATTGCAGAATTTGTTTACATATTTTACAGTGGTGCTAGGTTGCGTAGTATAACACTAGCACCGCACACACATATTACATTACTGTTAATTACTGTGATGTACATTCGTTCCAATAAACAATCTAGCAGATACATACATCAAATACAGCAATTATACATATCTTAAATATAGCAGTATATATATAATATATTATATTGTTTCATAAGAAAAATGAATTTAATTTAAAAAATTAAATTTAAATACATATTTAATTAAATATCTTGGTACCATTGCTGCAAGGAATGAAATTTAAATTAAACAAATTTAAATTCTTAACAAATACGTATAAAAGTAAAAAAGCAAATTTAATTCTAAAAAAAAGCCAAAATAATTTAAAATAATTTTTAAAAAAAAATGTGCAAACATGTAAAAGATTTAATTCTCGAACTAATCTACAATATCATTTAAATTCAGAAGCATAAGCAAATCAAGTGCAATATCTATCCATGAAAAATTTTAATTTTTAATTCAATTTTTAAAATTTTTAATTGAATTATTTTTATGGATAAATATTGCACTTGATTTGCTTATGCTTCTGAATTTAAATGATATTGTAGATTAGTTCAGAATTAAATCTTTTACAGGTTGCACATTTTAAATTTTTGGCTTTTTTTTTTTTAGAATTTAAACTTGCTTTTTTACTTTTAGACGTATTTGTTAAGAATTAAATTGTTTAAATTTATATATATATTATATATATATATATCTTAAATAAAGCAGGTACAAAAAGAAACATAATAATATGCTAAAAATTAAAAACAAGATTTTATAAATTCATCGTATGCTATAGCTGCAGGATTAAAGTAAAATAAACTTAAAGCATGTAAAGTTAAATTGAAATCAAAGCAAAGCAATTCCTCAACAATATTAATAATTGCAACCTTATATAAAAGGTTTAACACAGTATCTTAGCAAATCAAAACTAAAATAAGAATTCATAGTAGAACAAACTCGAAAAACAAAAATGTGAAATGGAAAATATAAAAATTAATCTCCTTTTACTGAAAGTCCAATTCAGAACTCATCAGGGAAAATGAATTGGCTTCATAAAAGTTGATTAATATGTTTAGAAAACATATTTCGTTCTCCTGGTTCATTTGAGATCAAAAACCAAAAAAAGATTCATTAAATTTTCATTTAAGACATTAAAATTCATATAAAATCGAATCTCAAATGTACCAGAATTTTTCCTACATGCTTTCGAAACACTTGGGAGGGGGGAAAATATAAATAAAACATAACATTGTGCCAAATTGACTACTTTACATTATGCAAATTGACCATTCTTAAAAAAAAAAAAAAAAAAAAAAAAAAAAAAAAAAAAAAAAAAAAAAAAAGGTCTAAAACCATTATATGCAAATCTAGAATTCAAAAGTAGTTACAAATAAAGAGCAAACCAAATAAACTTTAAATCATATTGTCATTTAAACAACACTAAAAAATGGGGTGGTCCCCGATTATGATAAACCAGTAATACAAAGAAAAAAAAAAAAAAAAAACTTTTCATAGAGATTTCTATAAATAATAAAATCTAATTTGAGCCTTAAACAGCTAAAACCTGAGAACCTATTTGAAACAAAAACTCAGACTTACTGATTTCTTAAGATGACCATCTTAACGTAAACTTACTGAATTCTTAAGACGACCAAACTGTGTTCCTTGCAAAAGAAAGTAGAGAAGCAAAAATTTTGTAGTTCTTGGAAAAAGTATGCGATAAGTTTCAAAGTGTGCAATAGCAGAACTAAGTATTTTAGCATGTGTTCAAAATGTCCTATCCTGTTAAACTTTGTTTGCAGGGATGCTCAATATTGGGTGCAGTCTGTAAAAATTATTACCAACGAGGGCAGTGACTATCAACTCCAAAATGGTGGCATAAGAAAATTCTAAAAGATGCTGTCCTCTGTAAAATCTTAAAATGCAAAAACAGAACTTGCTTAGAGTTGAGGAAAAGGGAAAATATAGGTTATAAAAGTTTTCATGTAATCGGGGTACAATATGTCTTTGAAACTAGAATCCCCATATTTTAATAAAAGCAAGATTTGACAGTTATTAAATTTGCAAAATAGTATAAATAATTAATGAAAAGAAAAAGCAACAAGATATTTGAACATATTTGCATTAATTTCTTATCATAGTCAGCCAACTATTACTTCCGGTTAAGGTTTAAGTAATAATTATCATATCGCTTTAGATGAGAAATTTAAAAAATAGTTAATACCAGCTTTCTTTAAAGATATAGAAATTTTGAATAGAGGTGTTTTATTCTCTAATAAAATTTTAATTTATTAGAATTATTTTAATAGATTTCTTCTTGTAAATGTTCAACATTGCTGCAAATATTTTTGATTCTAAGGGGTTTATGTATGGTATTAAGTATTACTCTTTTGGAGATGTTGGAGTGCCAATGAATGATTTTATAGTAGGGAAATCAAAATTTGTTCTTTTGTCATAAATTTTAATATCTTTAAAATTGATAATTTGCAAATCTAGGTAATTAATATCTCCTTGTTGAAAGTTAGTTGAGTTTCAAACGTAAAGGATAAATGTGATCATATTCTATTTTATTGAAGTTGTTGACTGCAATAATATCATCCATGTATCTGTAAATGTTAGAGTAATATGAATGCTATGCTTGAGATAACTGTGGTTGTAAATTAAATTCCTTGGTAAAAAAGTATAAATTACAAATTGCAGAAATTGTGCTAGTTCCCATCGGGATGCCATTAATTTGTTTAAAAAAAGCATTATTAGATGCAATTTAGTTATTAAAAAGATTTTTAAATATAGCTATCATTCTTCTTTGGAAATATAATAATTTGTGGGAATAAATCTGGTAGAGTTAGAAGACTGTCAAAGACTTCTTGTAAAGGAAGAGCCGTGTATAAATTCTCATAGCAGAATATATTTTAATCTTTAAAGTGCGAAGTACTTCTAGTTTCAGTTCATTATTACTTATTATCCAGTAGAAATTGTGTTTTGCATCTGTACATCTTTAATAAAGTAGAGAACTTTTTGAAGTATTATAGTAAAATGGTAGTCTATTTCTTACAAAAATTTAGGCGATGCATAAAGATTTTCTTTAAATATTATGCAGGGCAATAATATTTGGTGGCAAAAATTTGAAAAGTGATACATTTCATTAAAGTGATTCAATACGAAATGCCGTTCTGAGACTAATAGCCCTTCAGGGCTAATGCCCCTTTGGGCTAATAACATAATAAAATTAATGCAAATACAACTTACCAAATTGAATGATGCAGTTGAGTGAGTGAGTGAGTGAGTACACCGCTATGATGGCATCCGACCACGGACATGAACCAAACGGAATTATATACCATCACGGCGGGGAAGACTCCAGAGTAACAAGGTTGAATATTATATACTAATAACAGTTTTTACATATTGTTAACTGCAAGGCACTAAGCGTTATTCTGGTTATCTGCTTTAAGTTCTGAACTTTTGTAACATTATAATATTATCCACGGTTGTTTCTGCTTAGGCAGTGTCCTGAGATTTTCTATATTTTATCAAGGGCTATTCTGTTTTTGAGCGTGTTAGTCATCCACATTGCCCAGGCACAGTCCGCTGGTTTCTTCAAGTGCCAGGTTCTTATATGTACGCAATGGAAGTAATAATGGTTCGTGTTGCCTTCCTCTCCGCATTCGCAGAAAGGAGTATCCCTAAGTCTGAATCTGTTCAGGTATACTGGGAATGGTCCATGACCTGTCAAGAACTGTGTTAGGCTAGCACAGTGGGTCTTTATTTCCATGTTAACTTTTGGCAGTAAGCGAAATGTCCTTCGTCCTACCTCTGCCTCTGTCCATCTACTTTGCCAATTTTGTAACAGACTTGTCAAAGTTGTTCGCTTAATATGAGACCAAGGAAGTTTGTTGGTCTTTCTAATATATCCGGCAGTTGGCTGCCTGCTTTGCCGGTAGGTCAGCGGCTTCATTGCCTTGAATCCCTGTGTGAGTGGGAACCCATTTTAAAGTGGGTCTTTGCGAAATAGGCATTGTCAGAAGCTGTTTCTGAATTCTGTATACCAATGGACTCCGGCTGTTTTGACTTGTGATAGCCGCCAGACTTGATGCCGAATCACTGAGCCATCCCTGACTTTGTCTCTTCTGATTTCCTTTTATTTTGTTCCAATCAGAATTCCTTAAGTGGTAAAGTTTTTAATGACACTTATGATGTAAAATCTAATTTAATTCAATTTTTTGGTAACAAATGTCAGGAGTTTTATGAATGCGGAATTATGATGCACTGGCTGAAAGATAGCAAAAGATCATTGACAAAACTGGACTATACCTAATTTAATAAAATTATATTTTCAAGTATCAATTTTGAATTTTCTTTGTTTTTCAAAATTTGTAATAAATTATTTGCCAACTGAATTTGTCTTAAAGGTGGTTTACTGTATTTTTAAATATTAATCAAAAGAAGTATTCATATTTAACTAGTTTATTAAATGTTAAGCAATGGACGATAACTTGGACCTTCCTAGATACGTAGTGCATATGTCTTTGCCATAATTGCTTGTGAATAAATATTGTTATTTATTTAGAAAATTAAAATATGAGAGATGTGTGGCATTTTTGTGATTCCCATTTCTTTTTCTTACCCTCTTTTTTTTCCTCTTTAATAATTACAGTTAGCTACCGTGGAAGAAAGCCTCAAAACTGCTTCTGATGATAAAAGAGCTGATTTATTGGATCTCAGAGAAAAATTGACTGAAGTTATTATTTTATTACAAGGTAAAAAAAAAAAGTACACTTGGTGCTTCTTATAATGACTGCTTTTTAAGTCACTGTTCTATTGCAGCAGCTGTGGAAAAAGTCTCTAAAGGATGAGCATATTAAAGCCACTTCTGTCATAGTACCTCCTTGTTATAAGATCTTTTTTCTTCAGTATTCCAGTGTCCGCAAATACGTATAATGAGTATCAACTGTATTTGATGCAAATCTTTTATGATAATTTATAGTGTTTAAGATAATATATAGGTTTTAAATTCATATGTTTTATTGTTGTCGGTTGAATTAGTCATATGTTAAAAAAAACATTTTAAGGTATTTTTATATTTGTTACATATTAATTTAGGTAGCCAAGCAGTTTCAACTGCTACTGAAATTGTAAGTGAAGTAAAACGGTCAGATTTGAAACCAGAAGATGAGGAGTTTCTTAGGTTTCAGGTAAGATTTTACATTTTAGTGCTTTACAGCTTTGTTAACCAGAATTTTTGATAGCTATTAATAAAATATTACCACATATATAATCTGGTATTTAATACCATAATGTGATTATAAAAATTAATAAATAAAAAAATGTGAAGGCTTTCAGATTTTATATTGCACCGAAAAGAGCATTTTTTTAATGTTTTGTGTGTTACCTTTATTTATTAAATATCAGGTTTTTCTTAGTTAAACCATAAAATTCAATTCAACAGCAATATCACAAAATCCTTTAAAAAGAACATATCTTTAAAATTTCCGATACACCGTTTCATGCGCTGAAAATAAAAATGTTTTTTTTCCGTACAGTGTTCCCATTGTTCGCTTTGAAATTCTTAAGCTTCTGAATCAAAAATTCATTGAAGCGTTACAAAATATGAAATTGCTGATAAGAACTGTGTTAGGCTAGCACAGTGGGTCTTTATTTCCATGTTAACTTTTGGCAGTAAGCGAAATGTCCTTCGTCCTACCTCTGCCTCTGTCCATCTACTTTGCCAATTTTGTAGCAGACTTGTCAAAGTTGTTCGCTTAATATGAGACCAAGGAAGTTTAGTTGGTCTTTCTAATATATCCGTGCAGTTGGCTGCCTGCTTGTCCAGTAGGTCAGCGGCTTCATTCATTCCAAATTAGGGTTTCCACATGCCCACATTCTATGGAAGAGTATGTTATTCAAATTTAGATGGCCTAGGTACCGTCATTTTACACAGTGCGAGAAATATACATACATTCAAGCAGATTCTTCATTATTTAATTTCTTTAAATATAATATGAAGCTCTAATATTGGGTGGCAGCAATTTGAAAAGTGATTTGCCGTTTATGGTTTTCAACGCAAAATGCCAAAACGAAATTAATAGTCCTTCAGGGCAAATTGCTCGTTTGGACTAATAATAAAAATCTGAAAAGTTTCAGATCTTGCATTACGCCTAAAAGGGTATTTTTTTTATGTTTTGTGGGTTACCTTTATTTATTAAATATAATGTTCTTTGCACTTAAACCATAAAATTCAGTTCAACAGCAATATTGCAAAATAATTTTAAAATGAGCATATCTTTAGAATTTTCGAGACACAGTCTCGCACTGTGGAGACTAAGAATCTGGAGACTGAGGTAGCAGGTATATAAAAAATAGATTATTAAATTAGTATAAAAAGTTAGGTGTTTATAGAAAAGAATGAAGATTTTGTTGTATCAAGTACCGGGTGTCCACAAAGTCCCTAAACAACTTTAGAAGCTTCCTTAGAAATGGAACAACTTACACCTTTGGTACTGGTCACCATTTACATGCGAGGTTCAAAGTTTTTGTGGCAAATAACCTGAGTTACACAACCTCGATGTGAGACAAAATGACCTCTGTTTGATGGTCTTTCAGCTATAGGGAAATGTATTTAATCAATGTATCAAGACGAGCTCTGCTTGTTTTTGTTTGTTCATTGGAAAAAAATAGTCCTAAAATTTTGTCATGGAGCATATTATACCAAATGCTCTCTTTGAGACTGTTTCAACTTCCTCGTGATATGAAAATTTTTGGATCCTGTAATCTTTACGTTATGTGCACAGTAAACTAAATTGTTGGGGGGAGGGGAATTTTGATATATGTGGTGTGTAATAACATCACAAAAATTTACAGCACTACCTCTTACAGAACATTCAAAATAACAGGGTAAAGATAGGGACTTTGTGAATACCCTATATTATAGCTTCTAATTAAAGCCAGTTTTTATTAAAATTTTTTGTTAACATAAAAAGAGTTATTTGACTGCAGATATTATTGAAAGAAAAAGGAGCGTATTATCTGGTTAAAATAGTTTAAAAATTGTGTCATTTCCACTCGTCTTGAATTAGGTATGTATAGTGTCATTGTCCTTTTTAGAATTCTGAATGTGTGTATTAACTCATATGTATATTTGAAATCTTCAGAAATTTGAGCATTATGATCAACTGCAAAATTATTTTGTTATAGAAAATTATTTATATATTTTAACTATCTACTCTGATAATAATCTTTAGATGGAAATCAGTGAATTAGAAAAAGGATCTACTTCTAAAGGTGAGAAAACTGAACCAGATGTTGGAGGTGATGTGCACCATGAACTACACAAAGTTTTATCATCCATGGAAGGTAGTAAATGTCGAGCTCCTTTCATTCGCCAATGGGGTGAGAAAGCATATCATAATGCTATCATATTATCAACTGATTTGGAGGAACAGGACTTGGATGATTTGGCCAATGTTCAGGTAGTTGAAATTTCTATTCAGTATAAATGATACAACATTTTTATATTTAATTGTAATATTTGTGATATATAGAAATTTAATTTGAATAAAATAAGTACAGGGTGGCGCAGCGAAACGGGAAATTTTGAAATAACGTCATTTCCACCAATAAATTCATAAAACTAGTAATTTATTAACGAAAGTGCATGTATTCAGCATGCCATTTATGTTTTTACAATCAAAATGTCCAAAAGTGTCTGTTTACTTTTTAAAGATGACATCGGAAAGATGTGCTCCCATTTGGCGTTCGCACTCTAACAGCCTGTTATGAAAACTCTGGAATGTGCGGTGATTTCTTTTTCAATATTCTCCTTCAGTTCATGGATTGTTGCAGGACGTGTACGGTACACCTTGCCTTTAAGATATCCCCACAGGAAGAAGTCGCATACACTTATACTTAAACCACTAAGATCAGGGGATCTCGCAGGCCATTCAATGTCACTGTTACATTAAATAATGCATCTTCCAAATAATTGACGAACTGCTGCCTTCGATTGTCGAGCAGTGTGTGACGTGGCTCTGTCCTGCTGAAGATGCATGCTGTCGAACGGAGTGGTGAGGACTTCTTTCGATTGCAGCTCTAACAGCTTCAATGTTCTCTGGGGTACGTACCGTTGGAATGCCACCTGGAGGTTTCTTTTTCAAGGCAGATCCTATTTCTTCACCCACGTTGTAAACGCATGCGCAGATTGGACTTGTTCATGATGTCCAAGCGGGTAATGGTGTCAAAATATTCTCTGCGCGGCAGTCACACTATCCCCATTTTTATAAAACGCTCTCACAGCTACTGCACGTTATGCACCAGTCCAGTGATCCATGATTACTAAATGGCAATGCGCTCACAACAATTGTGCAAAGTTTTGAACAACTGCCGGCTCTACAGTGCTGCCAACTGTAACGTTCAAAATTTCACGTTTCCCTGCGCCACCCTGTACTTTAAAACGATAAATTATATACATGTTTTAAAAAATTTTTTATTAATATATAAAAATTATATAAATAATACATATTATATAATTTTTTATTTTTTACGAAAGTAGCAAGACAACATGAATTAGAGAAGACCTTAGTGGTCATGAATTTTGCACATTGAAAATGTATTTTTTAGCATTAGCTTTTAAACATTCCTCTTAAAATTTTTATTTATACTATATATAATTTTAATTTTTTATTAATATAGTATTTAAATAATATATAAAAAATTATATACATGAATGTTTTAAACACATGTTTATTACAGTTTAATTATCAAGTTGAAAATAACAACACATCTTGATGATAAAAAAGCTTTTTTTTTTTTTTTTTTTTTTTTTTTAAGATGCATATCATTTTGGTTCCTGAAATAAAAAACAGCATTAAATATTACATCATACAAACTTAATTATTGAACACATATAAGATATATTTGCATAGTGTTATAGATACTTTTAGGCTTTTTAAAACCAGAAAATAAGAAAATTTAACTGTGCATTTGCCAGTATGTGAACTACAAATCTTTCATTAGTAGCTGGAGGGGCTAATCACTTGTAGAGCATGTAGAGTCTGTCTATCATAAGAAAAGCTCTTGCCAGTTTGTCTGCAGCTGTTTGTTGGTGTCATAGGGGTGTTTTCAAGATTTATTTTTCAGTTTGCCATATTGGTGCATTTAAAGATGAACTGGTGATATTCACTTTTTGTTCTGGTTTCAAGTAAAAGGCTCATTGACCATTTGTCATCGACCCCCCCCCCCCCCGACATCCAATTTCCGAAAAGGAAAATTTGGCTGCGCAGATAAAGCTTTTGCAGCCAAAAAGCTATCTTTGGTTTTGCCACATGATATAGTTGCTGAATTTGTCGTACCTCTAGATGTACAATGTGTAAAAATATATCAAAATATGTTGTAGGGAAATAAATTAAAAATCTATGTTTATTTTTGAAGAAAAATTTTAATTCTTACATTTAAAAATCGTGCTAATATTTTGCATTTTTGTTTGTTTGCAAAACCATAGATGACATCTTAGAGGTCTATTTGATTGCCTCATTTCCTGTAATATAGTATATACACACTTCATAAATATAAAATAAATTTTTATAATTCTTCCCTCTAGCTACTTTACTGTGAGCATTCAAAGCAATTTCTTCAGTGTTTGAATGACTTTTTGCAGTGTTTTTATTTTATAGTTTTCTATTAATTTTTGCTTGTCTTTAATAATGACGTTCTGTTAATTTTCTTTATTACATAATTTTCTCTTAATTTATTGCTTTTGCTTTAATAATGACTAAAAATTTCATCATTAAATGGATATGGAATCATCTGAAAGTAAAAGTGTTATTTGTTATTAAACTGAATTTCAACATATAATTACATTGAATTTGCAAAGAGCTTGTTGTGATGTTGCTGTTGAAAATTCTAAGTTTAGAAAAAAGGTTTCACATGCCCTTTTTTCTTTCCGAGGTTCAAAATCTGGGGCGAGCTTAAGAGAGGCAGTACTTGAAGCCTTTTTTTTTTTGTAGAAAAAAATTTTATTTCTCATAATTGTTTTTATGTTGAACATGAAAACAAACTTAGCTACAAAAATTAAGCATATGAATACAAAATCACAGACGATACTATACGAATTACAGCTGACATCAGATAAATGTCTCATTTTTTTTAAACTGACATACTATTACCAATGTTAATAAACAGAAGTGTCTGTTCTTTTTGTTTGTGTGTGTGTGTTTTTTTTTTTTCCTGTTTGGAGGCCATTTTCAACAGTTGCTAAACCAAATAATAACAAAAAAAAAAAAAAAAAAAAAAAAAAAAAAAAAAAAAAAGAAAAAAAAAAAAAAAAAAAAAACATTGCTGTAGTTTTAAAAGATTTTTTTTATATAAAAATTTCTTATTGTAACAGTAAAGCTGCTGTCCATATCAAAAATGTTTTCACCCTTTTTTTAAGTGATGATAGTGTAAGAAATGGGCTATTATTGTGTTCCAAGCTCATGTGTTTTGTTTTTACATAAATACTTTCAAGAAGTAAATATTATGGAAGTAGTAAAACAGTTTCTCATGTAGTGATATATGCAATTTCATATTTTAATTCTGTGTTAGTGAATCTTTTGGTAAAAGAAGATTTTTTTAAAATTATTACTTTTTATACTTATTTTATTATTTTTAAAAGACTATATTTTTTCCTGTCATTATACACTCACATAAATATGCATGAAAATGAAAGTAAGTGTTGAATACCTTGCTAAGATAAGAGGTAGTTAAATAATTCAGATTATTTTTGTTATTGAGTAAAATCCATGAAGATTATTATGAAATAATAAATTTATTTCAGGTGCATGGTAATTCTGTTTAAATTTTATAAGAGCCCATCACAAGAAAGAATAACAGTTATAAGAAAGGGGCTGTGATGATGAACTCTTTCTTGTGTTAACTAAAAACATACTGTTAAAAATGAATAATACGTTAAAAAAATTTAGTTTAATATTTGTATCTTTATATTTGCTAAAATAATTCTCTTTTTCCTTCATATTAATGATTTAGGTGAAAGTTATGTTTTGTAATCCACTGTGTGATGAAATGAAACCATGTCCTTATTTCTTAGATGGGCATTGCAAATTTGATCAAGAGAAATGCAGGTGAGTACAATTTAAATTTTTTTTCTCTATGTATTAGTTAATAGTATAAGGTATTTCTCCCACCTTCTTAGCATGCCTTTGTGGTGTAGTGGTCAGCATGCTCGGCGTATATTCGAGGGGTCCATGGTTCAAGAGTCGGTGAGGGCACTGCTCATTTTTCATATCTGCTGCTTCAAAATAACCTAACGTCTCTACAATAGAATTGAAGCATATCATAATATTTCTGTTATTCAAGTTAAAAAAAGACATTGTTCATAATTAATTCAAAAGCTTTGTAAGGGAAAAAAAGAACTGTTAACAAATCTGAAATTAAATTTAAAGACTGGACAATAGACTTACCCGAATAATGCATTGAAATTAGCTTAACTAGATTTTTAGACTTTTTAATTACTCCAATTTCTAATTACATAGCTAGAATATGTTTAGATTTTAATAAAAAATAAATAAATAATATTTAAGAAACCATGAATTATTTTGTAAAGCTTAAAATAAATACTTTGTTGGAGAAAGTGACAGAATCTAATATTGTTGATCTTTAAAAGCTTTCATGCTTAATCAAAATTAAATCATAAGTACAGTATTCAGTTCATGTACTGAAATTTTTTTGTGTAAGTATTTTTTAATTTGGCAAACTAATTTTAATACTTGTGTATTAACCAGGACTACCATTTTATCCCCAACAATCTGCTGGTGCCTTTTGATGAAGTATGTTTCAACATCAGGCATGAAACAGTTTTTCCCCCTTCAGAGTATTGTTTGGCATTTGCATTCAAAATTAAAATCAGATTATTATTATCTGGTGCTTGTTTTTGCCTGAATAAGAATTCTGCTAAATAAGAAGGCAAGTAATTCTTGAACTATTTTCCAGTCTTACTTTATTGGCTGTTGTTGACATTACATTTCCAGCATATATCTTCTGTCATGTCAAGTTAATGTGTAAAAAAAAAAAAAAAAAAAAAAAAAAAAAAAAAAGGCCCTCTCCACCCTCCCTTAACATTCCCACAAAAAATGGGGGAAGGGAAAATTGATAAGAAATCTAATAATGAAATGCAAATATAATCTTTTTAGAAGAATTTAGAACAGCTTTAAGGGTTACTGAATGCTTGTAAGTGTCAATGTGAGGAGTGCTATTTTTGACAACATATCAGCTTTGTTCTACTGTTTCCAGTTTTGATTTTATGAAAAAACTGTGTGATTATAATGGAGCTGTTGTCTTTCTGTTTTTAAAATATGAGCTGGTGCAGTTACAACTTAAATAAGCTGACAGTTTATACGAATATTTTTCGCCTTTAATTCTTTAGTGACTTTTACCAAATTCTAAAAAAAATGTATTCTTGAGAAGATTTTTTTGAATTCTGGAAATAGAACCATAACTCTATCTTTGAATGCTTATTACCACTGCAATATTAAAGAAAATTGGGCTTTAAAGCTAACTTTTCCCCCTCCCTTGCTTTTCTGCATAACTAATATTTTGTGTTACGTGCATTGTAAGTTTAGATTTGTTAAAACATTTTGCATGTACTTTGTATTAATAGATTTTATTTACATTTGATATTTTAATAGAGATAATCATATAGAATTTTGTTAGATTTTGTTTGTTTTGTTTCTGCGACCTCAAGTTACATATGCTGTTACTATATTATTAAAAAATGATATTTTCAGTATCAAAATAATCAGATATAAAGCATGTTTAAGCATACCTTTTAATGGAGAGATAACTTTTTATCATACTTATTTGTTAAGAGATAAATGTTTACAAAATTTTTTTTTTTTTTTTTTTTTTTTTTTTTTTTTTTTTTTAAACACTGAGCACTTTCAGGTTGTTTTGAAACTTAAAATGCTTTGATTCTTTCTTTGCAGGCCATAGTATAGTATTTGTTTATGGGTTTTATTTTTATTGATATGTCACAGTTTTTGGTATAAGATTCAGTCATAATTTGGCTATTAATTTCTTTACGAAGTAGCATGCCAAAGGACAGTTTCAGACATTAATATGTCACTGATATTAAAGCATTCTTATGATTATAGTAAATAAAAAAATATATTTTTTAATTATTATATACCTATTGCAGATATTCACATGGCTATGGTGTAAAATATTCAGAATTGGAAGAATATGTTTTGCCAGATTACAGGTAATTTTCAGTTGAAATCATCATACATTTAAAGAATTTTCAAGCCTAATTATTTAATCATAATGCTACCGATAGAAAGGAATTTGTGACTGAAATGTATCTATGTACACAGAATATTGCAATGATTCCTTATCTAAAATCCTATTCTGCCATCTCTCACTTAATAATTTAGTTTTGGATTATTATTATTTATTATTATAGGATTAATTGCTTTAAAAATTGTCCTAAAATCATTTTTATGCCTCTGAGGTAGACTGGTTCCTTGAAAAATTTTAAATAGTTTTGTCTTTGTTTATCATGAAATTTCTTTTGAGTAAGTCTATTTTAATATATTTAAGATTGCAAGTAACTTTATATAATAAAAATGTGCTTTTTTAAAAATTAAATATTATGAATTGTTTTTAAAATTAAATTAATTAAATAATCAGAAAATAGGGAAATTCACTTAAAGATTTCATTTGTTTGAGAATTTAAGCTATTAAATTTACAGAAACTTTGTGTGTGGTATGAAACATTTTATATGATTTCCTTGTATAATAGATTAAAAAAAAAGTACAGATAGATAGAAATTGAAAATCTAACCTTTTTAGTCAGGTTATTGCATTATCAAGACAATGTTTCTCTATTTTTATTCTATATGAATGGACAGTAATATATGTAATATATATATATATATATATGTATAACCACCCTGTGTATATATATATATATATATATATATAGACAAAAAGTAAGACAATTAGAACCCAATTTCCTCAAAGACAGGAAAAAAAAAAAAAAAAAAAAAAAAAGTGATATTCAATACCAATAAATTTTAAAATATCCTATAAATATACAAAATAAGAATTAGAGAAATGTAAAATTAAAACCTAAAAATTATAAATATCTGAAAAAATATTCCAATACATAAAAATAAATAGAGAGGAATTTAATTAAATGTGATGTGATGTTATTTAGAGGAGAATACCTTAGACCCAATTACAATCCCCTATCCACTTGAAGACCCAAGTATTTCTGTATTCAAAGTTAGTTGAACTATTCTAAAGTTTTGTAATTAATTATAACAATTCATCTGAAAATTTTGAAGTCCTTCTCAATGCAAGGAAAATTAAATGTCATATCATGTAAAAGAATAAAATTAGATTTTGTTTTTGTTAAATTCAAAATTGAAATAAAAATATCAAAAATAAACTGAGAACATTTAAAATGTACTTTGTGTTACTCTCTATATATGCACATGTATACAGGGTGGTTATAAGATAAATTTCCCTGTTGAAGGTGCCTGCAGCTAACATTAATGAACAGAGTGAAACCAAAATTCATATACAGACTGTGAAAGGCATGGGGTGAGGAATTCTGGGGAAAGAAATGAGAACCAGATGTTGCTTTGATAGACAAGAGATTTTGATGCCGCTGTCATGGCATTGCTTCTAGAAAATTTGCTAGGAATTTTGACAGCAGTGCCACTCATTCCTTTTAAAAACAGCAAATCCTGAGCTTGCTTTACTTGGCAAGCCATTTTACACTAGAGCAGAGTTTCTTAAACAGTGGGTTGTGGGACTGGCAGTGGGGGTCAACAAAAATTTTAGCAATATTGATATTTCTTTAACTTTAATAATTTTACAATTACCAAATATTTTTACATAATGTGTCTGAAAATAGGTAAAGATAAGGAAATACAGACAAATAAAAAAATGAAAACATTTTGATACATGTTTTTTAATAGAAATGTCATTTTACTTTAAAAATTAAAGTTAGTGACATAAAACTGCAATATTATATTACCGTACAAGTGAAGAAACTGATAATTTCACTCATGCGTGTGTTGGATTTGCATAATGCTTAAGGGATCCCACAGAATTTTCGTAAATATTATAGGGTACACACGCCAAAAAAGTTGAAGAAACCCTGTATTAGAGAGTCCAATGCTGCAGTGACTCTTAGAGAATCTAGAAGGTTTCATAATGTGTATAAAGATCAAATGTCACCTATTGCACTGATAGCTATGATTAAAAAATTCAAGAAAACTAAACTGCTAGGAGTTTAGCAGAAGACATAAAGCAGTACCAGACAGTGCAGTAACAGAAGTTACCACTACATTGTTTGATGACAGAGGGACTAGCAGTGGTCCAAAGTCCTCGTGCAGGCATGCATTAAACCTATATGATTTATGCTGCTGTTAGGAAAATGCTGTATTTCTATCCATGTAAGATCAGTTGTCTGCAAAAACTAAAAATGGCAGATTCTGATAAGTGCCTGACTTTTGCACTAATGTAAGTTGAGAATTATTACTTAATGTTACCAAATTTGGGTGTCTGAATAGCTCACAGTGATTCATTAAGTGCCTCTGCATTTTGCAAAAGTAACCATGTAGGGTGGATTCATCATTAGAAAACTGAGCTTCTTGAAAGAAAACACAGATGGCTATTGCAAACATCCACACTGACAATTTAGGTGCAGCAGTAAAGGACATTGTACACCAGATGTAATATCTTGTACATAGCTCATTGAAAATGTTGCATATGATCCAGGGGATCCTAATGTTGATTAATAAAAAATAATTTTCTGTAACTTTCGTATTGTATGTCATTAATTTCTATATGTGCATTTTTTATTACTGAAACGTTGGGAGAGGGAATGCACTGAAGAGGGAAACAGTCAGTAATTGGCATTACTAGCTGATTATTGCATAAAACATCAGAGAAATTTTGGTACTTGCCTTCTGAAGTGACCTTGGCGAGAGAAAATGGTATTGCCTTAATTCGGGTTTACAGAAGTCCTAGTCATTGCCAAATGTTATAAATATCCATGAAAATGACACTGACTGAAGTAAATGATAAATCAGCAATTCATTTAACATCTGTATAAGGCAAGTTATTTAATATATGCATATATATATGAAGAATTTGATATCAATTTACAATTATTATAATATTGAATACAATTTTTGCCAGCAACTTATTTAAAAGATCACATAATTCAGTATTCTCTGTCATCATTTATTTAAAAGAACACGTAATTCAGCAGAACTAATTTTATGTATTTATTAATTATCATATTTAATGCATTTATCTAAGCAAAGTATTTAAAATAGCATGCTGGAAAATTTTATTAATTATTAAACGATCCAGGAATTTCTAGTCGTTGTTCTGTTTAACATAATCTTGTTAGCAATTTGTTTAAAAAAAATAGCATATATAAAGATTCTAAAAAATGCATTTTTTACACATTCTTTCTGGTGGCTATGGTTCAGCAGTTGTCGCAAAATAATTCCTCAGGCATCAATTATAGCTTGTTTTTTGATTCATGGAAAACTGAAAAAAGTAATCACAGTGAAAACTTTACAATGTAATACCACTATACTGACTGAATGCAAATCTGGAAAACCAGTCATATTGTTAACCCTTTGATGCAAGCGATATTATTTTTATAATTTTTTTAACTAAAAACTCTAGAAATTGAATATTATGATCCTAGAGACAAATAATATATGAATTTAAAAAAATCTACTATTGCCCATTGTTCTGTGGGTGGTGGTCGCACTGTGAAACCACCGCGCGTCTAGGACTTTGAAACTTACTGATGTAGTAGGGATAAAAAACTTACCATTTTCCGTTTGCGTTTCCAATAAATGACGAAATTTACAGATTTAAAAAAAAAATTATGTAAGAATTGCATTATATATAATTTTTTTACATTATTTTACAAATCGTCAGAAAAAACTAAAAAATAAACATTTATGTAATTTTTCTATAGCAGTGAAAATATAAGTACCTACATAATAAGGACATTTGGATAAATGGATTAAAAAACTCAATAAAATAAGGATACAAAAGAACTCGGTGTTTCTTTTTTTAATTTCAAAAATTTTTTTTTTTTTTTTGTGACACTGTTCAAAGCATGTTTCGTCTTTTTGGCACATGCATAGACACACACTGCACGTTTCGCACATACATCTTGTTCTATGAGGTTTCTTCCTCGTGCTACAAAATGTACACTGCCTGGATTTAAATTTCACTGGTATATGTCCAGTGTTATTATTAGTTTCTTTTCATCTGGCACATGAAATTTGTGGTTTTTTATGTTAATGGGGGGGGGGGGCTTGGTCGTTTTGGCTTTGTACGGATCGTTTGTTTCCCATTCATACTTATTTTATTCGTATTTCGTCCCAAAATATTCAGAAAATATTTTTTATTTAAATAAAACTTTTGCGCAATTTCTATTTTTAATTATAGCAAAGTGCCATTTACATTAAATTTAAACCACAGGAAATAATTTATAAAATTACAAGCCTAGCTTGGGGAGCAAGTGTGTTGATGTCAGAGAAAGGTATTTGGAAAAGAAAGACCTTTTTACTGAGCAGGTGCATGTATTGTTTAGTAATAAAATAACTCTGTGGTTTCAAAGCCCTTTATCTATATCCGGGTAAAAATAAAAATTCCTATTTGAAAAGCAAGCGAACGCCATTGAGAAGCAAACGCCAGTGGTTTCAAGGCGCGACCACCGACCCTCTAGAAGATTGTAAGCATTGTGACACAATGCTCTAGTGGCGCAGTAGTCGCGCCCTGAAACCACATGGCAAATGCCATACATATAGAGGTTTTTTTTTATATATGCAGTTTAATTACTGCAATTTTTTATTGCTTATGATAGAAATTATGATGTGCGATGAGTAACTTTTGAAATTTAAAGTTGTTTATATTAATAAAAGGAAGTTAATTTTGTCTCATCGAAAACGAATTTTAAAAGGCATCCGATCTGAAGTATTAATACCTAAAACATATATGATTCTACAGTCATTTTGTGTTATTTAGATGTAAAAGATCAGTAATCAATTCATTTTCATTCAAAAATTTCGGAAAATAGAGGAGGAAAAAATTCGGAAAATGGTGGTTTCAGGGCGCGACCACCGCGCGTCAAAGGGTTAACCATTTGTTTCTCGCTTACACATAGATCGATAACCATCTGTTTCTCACCAGTGCAGAAGCATGCCAAATTAGCATTCTTGCCAAGGCTGCTACAGAAGACAATCATGTTGTGGAAACTGAATTTTCTAGTAAGTAATTCAGTGTATGCCAGTAAATCAGTGTAATATTCGTAAAAGTGTAGGGTATAATTTTCCCAAAATATTGCTAGAATTTCTAAATTATAATTTTCTTTTTTCTGTCTTCTACTTAATAGTAATGTACAACGAGATTCTAAATGTTTGGCAAAGTATAAGGATGGATTATGGTATACAGCTGTCATAGAAAATTGCTTAACTGATAATAAATATTTTGTGAAGTATGACAATAATGGAAGTACAGATACCCTTGCTGCTTATGACATACTTCCTTTAGGTAAGTTATCTAATTCAGTAATTAAATTGGCACTTAATTGTTTTTATGTTAATTCACTGTGTAAATTTTTATTTTTAAATAGATAACAGAGTGTAGTTAGTTAATGATGAATGCTAATTAACAGAATGTTAATAGTATTTTTTAAAGTATGTATTTAAAAATGTTTTAAGTTAAAGTGCTTGATATAAACTAAAAAATAAAATTCATTTTTTCAATTTTAACAACTTTTAAAATCAGATTTTGAAAATTTAGATTTTGTATTGTAGTGATGTAGTAACTTTTAATCTTGGATTAATATTGGTTTATTCTAAATCTATGCTTATTTCATTGGCCACTCTTCTTTAAGGTGTAAAACCTTTCTGCACCATTTGTTGGAACTATTTTGTTGAAATAGTCAAAATGAATAACATATGAGTAAAGCAACAATTCTAATATCATTCATCAAATGAAAAAGAAATTAAGTTTTTAAAAATGAGTTAGTCAAGTTATAAGATACATCTGATAATGGGGCTTTTCGCCAAAAAAGTTAACTAAACCCAGTGGATGGCTGCCCCATTATCGATAAAAAAGAGAAGAAAGAGCTATCTGCTTAAGCTTCATTGGAATTTTGATCAGAAGCACTCTGAAAGAACTCTTGATTATTTTAAAGATCTTGTACTTTTCCCGCCTTGTTATCATTTTCTTGAAAGGATTTTCAGACTAATTTTAAGTTCTCCTTTTACATAAAATCTCTATACTGCCATACATCTCATTTTGCAATATAAACCCAGGCCCATTGGTGTGTTCACTAGGGATAACTGTCATACCATTTGCAAGCTTTTGCAAATGGTATGATAGTTAACTTAGTGACAAGGATTTTAATATTCTGTTGAGTTTAAAATATATTTGTTGCTAATGTGCAGCATATTCTGATAAACAAGTAAATTGCAACTGTATGTAAGGAAGCAAAAATAAATAAAATATCACACATGTTTAGAATTCATAATTTTTATTTGCAACTTAATATTAATACTATAACTACTTCTATATATCTGTTATCAAATAATCATTTTACTACAAATTTTAAATCCATTTAATTACATGTTGAATTAATTATTTTTATAACCTGTGAAGGTTTTCTTGTTTATTCATTACAATATTATTTAATAAATATTTATTTAAATCATAGGTAATATTACAATATATTTTCTAAGCACATTTTGAGAGAAGGTTTGGTTTATTCTAAAAACATAATGATGATACTAAGCACATTGCCATTATTATAGATAGGTAATTTTTTTTTCATATTAACCTTAATAGCAGTCAGTATTGTTTGCATTTCTTTAGAAGTATTTTTCTAAAACCTTGTTGCAAAACGATGGCAAACATGAGCATTACTATAATTGATATTGAAAGAATAGGAGACTATGGATTGTACTTTGTTTGTATAGTTTGTAAGTTTAAAGCATTTATCTTCATTCCAGACTATTTATATGAAAAATTCTGTGATCTGATTTTTAATCAGTAATAAAATTTGTGCAATTAAGAATTTACTCAAAAAATATAATTAATGGCTTGAAATGTTATTTATTTTAAAAAATGAGTTAAGATTATTTGCATTCTTTAGAAATATATTTTTTCTAAAATTCAGTTTCAAAAGAATAGCAAAACGGAGTATTACTGCAAAAGATATTGAAAAACTGCAATACTCTTTGTTGGGTTTAAAAAGACATAAAGTTTAAACCATTTAACTTCATTCTGGACATTTTATGAAAAGTTCTGTTATATGATTTTTAATCATTAATGAAGGTTATGTTGTTAAGGAAGGAAATCTAATGACAAAAGATATATTAAAAATGATTCTGTAGAAGAATGCTGCTATATTTCATGTAAGGTGTGAATTAAGTTCTTCAATTGTTTAGGCTTAAATTTTCTATTTTCTAATTTTCATTACACATGTATGTATTTATTTGCATTAAATTAAATATTTCAATAAAATTTTCAGAGGGTTTAACCTTATCAGATGATGATGAAGGTAGTAGTAGTGATAGTTCTTGTGAAGAATCTCATTTGAAGTTTGAAGAAAAATCCGATTTACAGAATACTCCAACTGAAATAAATTACATGACAGAAATAGGCTCTTCTCCAATTGGTTTGTGGGAACAGCATACTAAGGCATGTTTTTGATTTCTTTATTTCTTCTATCATCTGTTTTTAAAAATTTGTTCTGTATTTTCTAATCTAATAAATATTTAATCACTGTTTAATAATTTTGTTACATGCACTGAATAACAAACAAACAAAATAAAACAAAAATCGATGCACCAAGAAGGAATAATTCGATTCCTGTGAAATTTCGTATACATAAATGTTTTGACCAAATATGCAAGTGATTAAAATCTGCTGTCCAATGAATGAATAGTGTGATCTCCAGCGCATTGGAACTGCACATCCAGTAGATGTATATATTCTTGAACTGTTGTTAAAAATTTCTGTTGCATCGTAATTTAAGATACCTTTCAATGACTGAAAAAGTGCCTTGCTGCAGAATTCGAAAAATTCTTGGGAAGCCATTTCAACCATTCTCATCTTGGTACAACTTTAATCAGCTAAGATATTAATTTTCACACTCACTTTTCCAAGTGGCAACAGTCTCGCATGACGGAGATAAAAATGCTTTATTTTGAGAAGTTTTGTGACTACTTACTTTCAAATCATAGAGTTTGTTAAGAAAAAGTTTTAACATTAAACATCTTATTATTATATAAGGTCATATTCTGAAGCTGAAGAAAACACACAATTGCATGTGATATCATTGTACATTGAAAATTTTTTGTTAATGTTATCATTTTAAATAAATAGCTGCTGTTTGCAACTTTTTTGTTTCAGGTTAGGATAATTGACTCGCTATGCTGTTGCCATGCTAGTTCTTTTATTGATATTGAGAAAAAGTTGTTACATTGCATTAAATTTAAATCATGACATCATATGTATATCTGAAATGTCAAAAGTTTTTGTTTCCTGGTGTGACAACAACAAAAAATATTTATGAATTGGTTGCTGCTTGGAAAGAATGAACTGATTTAATTCATATTGAAATCTTTTTATACATTTTCTTTTCAGGTGTACATAGAACTTATAAATTTCACTTTCGCCACAGCCTACTCATCTGGTGGGCTAGTATATATTTAAATTCAGTTATTCTATGAATGTTATTAAGGTAATTAAATTGGAGTAAAAAACAACAAAATGTATATAAATAATGGAAAAATTATGAAAAAAATTAACAAATGAATTTAAAAAATTATTTATGTACCTATTTTCCAGTTTTTTCAATATTTGTATGCTGTTATTTTGTACGTATGTTAATATGGATACAACACATATATAACAAAATATATAAGTTAACAATTTAAAATTCTTATTGTCAAATATCAGATTTATTCCGACAGATTTCAGCATTTTATTTAAATCCTATAATTGTATCCTCCAAGCATTTTTATCACTTTCATGTCAATATAAATTAGTTTATAATTTAATTTTATGTTCATTCTTTCTCTCCATATTTCTTTTTTAAGCCCAAATGAGTGTTAGTCCAGAAGGGCTATTAATTTTATTTTGGCATTTTGCATTGGTTCACTATGCAATCAATCATTTGTCTGAATCACTTTTCAAATTGTTGCCACCTGCACAACAATTGGCAAATTGTTGCCATTAGAGCGCTGCATTATATTTAAAGAAATTAAATAATGAAGAATCTGCATGAATGTATGTATGCTTCTCGCATATTGAAAAAACAACGGTACCTAGAGACATCAAATTTTGAATACTGTAGTCCTGCACTCGAATATAGGCATCTGGAAGCCCAAATTCGAATTTTGGAATTTGTCTTGTTATCTATTTCATATTTTGTAAAACTTAATTTTTTATTAACAAACTCAACGATTTCTAAGCATTCCATTAACATCGTGTGCATCTTCAAGTATGGATATTTTATTTGTGAGGTTTCTTTACATTTCTTACAGGTTTTGTGTTGGTTGCGTAGCAATGCAAAGACATTACAATGTCTAACAGTATTTTGTGTCAAACGACATTGAATGTCTGTTTCGCTTTTCATATCCTGTTTCGATTTCGCCATTAAAAAATGCCCCTTTGGTCGTAATATAAAATCTAAAAGCTTTCAGAATTAACCTCTCCCCAGATTAGAAGCCTGTCTTACTTCATCCTCTAAATGACTGTGTTTAATACAAAAGAACTTTGAATTTCTTTAATTCAATATATTGGTAAATTGAACAGTAGAAAAATTATTTTCTTTGTATTTCTGCCTTGATAAGTCATATTCATATATTATTCCTAATTCATGAAGGTCATACTGTGAGCTTCTTTTCCAGAACCCTTAAATGCAGAGTAATTTGTTCTGCTATAGCTCTCTAGGTCATTTAATCACCTTCATAAGTAGTCTTATTCATATTATGAATATTCAAAAGTGTGCTTTGAACAAATTATGCAATGCAAATATTTTTATTTGAACTGAAATGAAACTGAGATGTTTCACATTTTACAAGTTAGCAGCATGTTTTAAATTATTCAATATATTTTCCCTAAAAGATCAAAAGACTGTATCATTAATTAAATTGCTATAATATAGTTTACGTCAATAATTTCTCATCATGTTTTTGTTATTAAAAGATGAAAAATATATCATTAAGTATAAACAAAATATTTTAACTTTAAATGCCCAGACGATATAGTGCTGCCCAGACAGTATAGCAAAATATATAGACAGCATAACAAAATACATAAGTTAACAATTTTAAGTTCTTATTGTCAAATATCAGTTTTATTCCGACAGATTTCAACACTTTGTCCAAATCCTATAATTGTATCCTCCAATCGTTTTTATCACTTTCATGTCAATATAAATTAGTTTATAATTTAATTTTATGTTAATAGAATTATAATTTAATTTTATGTTAGAGAAGCCTGACTGCGATACCGAAGGGTCCGGGTTCGAATTCCAGAGAAGGCATGGATGTAAAATTGTCTATTCCTTCATAGGCGGTAATTTGCCTGCCTGTTAGGTGCCTCCCCAATAAAATGGCCACCACTTCTGTCCTTAGTATTGGCCTATGCTGTTATAGGCAAGTGCCCACCACTGGCAGAGGGGACTTTAAACGCTGCTTTCAAGATTTTGTCTTATTCTTCGTCATGATAATATGTTTAATGCCATTATCAATACATGATTAAAAAATGAATTTTATCATTTAAATGTCATTTTATATGTCAGCGACTGTGCATTGAAATAATTTTCATCAGAAACAGTATGGAATCCTAGATGACTTTTCAACTCAGTTTATTGAGAAAAGTATTAATTCAAATATTTGGTGCTTAGTTTTTCTTCCCTTCCCTGTTTCTTAAATCTTAAGTTTACTGTAAGCTGGCCATTCAGTGTATTATTGAAATATGAAGATTTTTTTATAATAGTAATAATAATTTCAAGATGTAAAAATTCTCTCTCTTGAAGTATTTATTGAAGTTCATCATTGATCTATTAATTAAAATCTGTGTCCTGTTTTTACAAGTATATTATTTTTTTTTAATATATTTTGCTAAGATAGTCTTTTATATATAGGGAATTGCCTCAAAACTAATGGCCAAAATGGGTTATGTTTGGGGGTAAGTATAATTTATGAAATCTAACTTCTCTTTTTCCCTTGAGTAATCTAAAATATGTTTTAAAAATTTTCTTCTTAAGCAACTTTATATTTTTAATTAACAGCTGTAATGCTTTTATCCGATTGTGAGATTCATTTTCTCTTTTTGTACATTATCATGTTATTTTAAGTACTATACTTCCTTATTTATGTATAATAATAATTATTATTGATGAGCTTAATATAATTTTAATGAAGAGAATATTATGAAAACAAAAAGTAAAATGGTTATACAAATTCAGCTTATAAATTCTGTGTAAATTCAGTTTGTTATGAGCAAATCCAAAATTTTCTGTCTATTTAGAAGATTTGATTTTATCATTGATATTTTCATATTTCAGCATTCTTTTAAAATGTAATTTTTACCTTTCTTTGCATTAGTTCAATTTTTGAATTTCTTTGAGTATACATTAAATAAAAATCAGACTGGAAATAATTATAAATAAATTTAAAATTTGGTATGAAGCGAGATTCGGCAGTAAATAAATTTAAAAGATAGAAAAAATCATGTTTCAGTGAATTTTTAAGTTATCTTAAACACAGTCTATGCAAAATAGCATCAAGTATAGGAGAGTTAAAAAATTAATATGAACATGTTTTAATTACAATTATGTTCACTAAGTAGCATTTGATTTACAATGCAAGATGAAGTTCATATTGTAGTAATGCTGAATATATCCAACAGTTGACAGAAGTGTTCACCAGGTGTTACTTGATTTACAACATGAGACAAATTCTTTATTATAAGAAGTGTTTAGTGTGTTGATTATCATTATCAAGCACAGCCTGAAGATGATGTTATTGATATCATGAAACAGCATTTCTGTAAGGATCATTGATGCATTGCTAATAACATTAAGTAATTTCAGGTACCTTCATAATCAGAAGTTACAAGATGTTCAGATCTGGAGACCTGGGCGGGCATTTTTACTAAAGTGATGATTTATTCCTTAGTTCTGCCCACCAGCGGCCGAGCGGTAAAGTCGCTGAACACTGGCAGTTTGGTCCGAGGTTCGAATCCCGCGATCGAGCTGGCTGCATGGGTGTTTTCATGGTTTCCCCCATGTGTAACGTGTATACGAGCCAGTTTCCCTTGGAAAGTCCTCCACGAAGGCATCCCTTCCCTTAGGCAGATAACCCTAGAGGCTTTGCCGTAATTGAATAGCCTAACCTATTCTTTAGTGATACCTTAGTAATCATAATTGTGTCAAAAGAAGCAGTTTAGGGTGTTGCTACATCTTGCATGAATGTCACAATATCCTAGGACGTGTCTTCCTTCACAAGCTAGGATAAATGTTCATAATAGGTCAGTGTAACATTGAACTGTTGGAGAGATAGTTCCAGGCTAAAACTCATTTTCTTCTCTCCCCTCCAAAAAAAAAGCTGTCACAAAAGATGAAATGAAATGGAACTAAGCTTTTACTTTTGTCTGATGCAGTGATATCCCAACTTAAACTAATGAGATTTCAGTTACTCATATTTAAACTGTGTATGCTTACAGAGCCATTGAAAATGAAATGGGCTTCATCCATCTGAAGGAAATTTGAGCTTGCTCTTCAGTTTTCTAAAAACTTCATAAAGCAAATATTTTCTGCTTTCTAAAATTGAGGGCAAAAAAAAATTCCTGAAGTTCATGAATTTCTGAAGGATATCTGCAGTTGTAATAACCATATATGGAATACCTATTCGGTGGAAATTTCTTAAGACCTTGCTTCTTCATGAACTTATGATGCCACTACAGAGTCCTGATTTTCTGCAACTGCAATATTAGTTGGAATATATATCACTGGGTTTTTGTACTATAGAATATTTCTCAAAAAAAAAAAAAAAAAAAAAAAAAAAAAAATTGTTGTCTCAGATTTCTTTTGATCATCTTATTCATATTCCTGAAGCTGCTCAGGATATGCTTTATAAACCTCAGCTGACAAAAGGATTGTAAAGCTGCAGCTTTGTTCTTTTATTAGTGTAATAAAATTTCATCTAAAGTGTTTTATCAGGTAAACATAGCATGCTGGCAATCATATTAGCATTTCTGATCCCTTGAAATTTGTTTTACAAGGTGTGTTCGAAAAGTTCGGGGATTGGTCTCATAATTAAAAAACCACGCCGGTTAGGATCTTGCACTCACGCAGACGCAGTGAGAGAAATGTCATCTAGAGCCGTCTAATGGCCATTTTACGACAGATAAGAGGAAGCACACGCTATGAGCAGTTTAACACAGTCAGTGTGAGAAAGATTGTCAGTGTGACATGGAGCAATGCATAAACATAAAGTTTTGCTTCAAGTTAGGCAAAATGGCAACGGAGACACATGACATGTTTCTGAAAGTTTACGATCAGGAAGCAGTGAGTAAAAAGTGTGTTTATAAGTGGTTTAAATGCTTTACAGATGGAAAGGAGGATGTCAAAGATGAGCCGCGGTCAGAGCGCCCTACAACAAGCACAACTCCAGACAATGTGGAACGAGTTCGACGGATGCTTGCGGCAGATCAACGACTATCTTTAAGAATGATAACTGGCGAATTGCAGATAAGGCTAGACAGTGTGAGCACATTGTGCACAACATTTGCATAAACAAAAGATACTATGTGCCCGATTTGTACCGCACTCGCTGTCAGACGAGCAAAAGCAATACCGGATGGAAACCTCTGGAGATTTTATCGACATGTGTGACCGGAATCCGCAATTCTTGGAAACAATAATTATATAATTATAGGGGATGGTGCTATCAATACGATCCAGAGACCAAGCGGCAATCCATGGCATGGTGTTCAAAGTTATCACCCCCTCCCAAAAAAAGTCGTTTGACACAATCCAGGATCAAGACATTGTTGATCATCATTTTTGACAGTAAGGGTTTGATCCATCGTGAATTTGTACCTGCGGCTACAACTGTCAATGCGGAATACTACGAGGGGGTTTTGAAACGGCTGCTGCTACGCATATGCGGATTCGGCCACAGTACTGGAATGGACAGTGGAATCTGCTCCATGTCAATGCACGGCCGCACACTGCGATTCGTGTAACCCAATTCCTTGACAGGCACCAGGTTCCAGTTTTGGATCACCCTCCATATTCTCCAGATCTGGCTCCCGTGGACTTCTTCCTGTTTCCCCGCCTCAAAGGAGTTCTGAAAGGCCAATACTTTTCCGACATTACTGATATCCAATAACGTGTGACAACGGTGCTTCGAGCCATACCGAAAGAAGTGTTTGCAGACAGTTTCCAACAATTGTACACCCGATGTCAAAAGTGTATTGTTGCTAATGGCAAATACTTTGAAGGCCAGTAAGCTATTTTGCTTGTTTCTCTTGCTTCCTTTTTTTATGGTAAAATTCACCGAACTTTTCGAACACACCTTGTATAACTGAAAGTACTAGATAATTTTTTAGGTAGAGCTGTCTGGTGGGTTTAAAGTTGTTACAAATTTTCTTAATTTACATAAAATAATAGTGTGAATTATAATGAAATGGGGAGATATGTCACGTTCAGATGATTTATTTGTTCTTAGTTGTTTTTTAAACTTTGAACTACATTTTTTATTTTTTAAGGGTAAATTTTAAGTAGAGTGATGAGATTTAGACTTTTGAATATTGTTATTATAACGGAATTAATATCTTTTACTTACTGTAAATTTATTAAAATTATTTCATCTAGAAAATGTACTAATGGGAAATAATCAGGCATTTCTCAAAATCTGTAGAGACTATATTCCAGAATCATTATAACTTCGAAAAAAATCATTGTCCTGTTGTACTTAGAGGCAGGCAATTTTCATAATGTTTGCTTTACAATTACTGCCACCTGTGGTAGACATATTAATAAATATTAAAACAGCTGCAATATCTGATAGTTAAGTATGTAGGGTTTTTTGTGATAATTAATAAATGCATTTTATTTGTAGTCAAGGGCTTGGAAAAAATTCAGATGGAAGAATTGATCCTGTGGAAGCTATAGTTTTACCTAAAGGTATTTATTCAAAGGCAAGATTATTTTATTTTGCTCCCATTTTATAGAATTTAAATTTGATACATTGTGAAATGTAAAAAAAAAATTGGGGTTAAAATTCTAGCTTGTGTTAAATTTAATGCCTATGAGTAAAAAAAAAAATAAATAAATAAAAATAAATAATAAATAAATAAATATATATATATATATATATATATATATATATATATAAAAACTGAGAAATGGTTTTTGTCTTTTCATTTTCCTTTCCCAGTTATGTTATGTTGTGTGTATCAGAGCATTTATCCTGGCAACCATTTTGCAAGGTGTACAGTTTCAGTTTATCATTAACGTAACAAATATTTTTCCAGATTTCAGAGCTGTTACCATTCAGTGTGGCACAAAATTTTTTATCTTTCAAATTAAAATTGAGCATTGTTTTATTAAATGTATAATGTAAAAACAAAATAAGTTCTTTACAATAATTTTTCATTTTTTAATAATGTCTGTAATTGATATAACTTATATTCCATCTAACTCATGTAATTTTTAATATAATTGATATTTTATAAATATTTTTAATGTTATTGTAATTATTAAAAATATTTTTAACACTGTATATTATTTATAAAATGCTGACTGATAATGAATTTTTTTGTTTATGTTAAATTCCTTAGACATTTATTATACTGTACAATAATTATTGTAGGAAAATCATTAGACCATTGTGTTGCAATTAGGGAGAGTACAGGTCCAGTTTCTGTTGAAGATAAATTCAATGCAGAAAAAGTGAAAGAGCAACAAAGAGTGGAAAAAATGGAGAAGAATAATGCTCCAGAAGCTACAGTGTTTGATTTCCTTAATAAAAATATATTAGCAAAAAGTGGTAAATATTATTTTATTGCTTAGCTTAATGTAGATTTCATTAAAAAAATTTATTAGTTGATAAAAGTTTGAAACCATTCATATAAAAATGTTCTGAATTAAACTGAGTTTTGAAATAGTTGTTTTTGTTTTAATTTCTTACATGGAAAAGACCTGTTTTGGTAAATCTAAAATTTGGTCAATATTAAAACTAATTGGCATCAACATAAAATCTTTAACCTGTCATTTTGTAATATTGTAAAATCTGGATACAGCATTGTTTGATCTTCAGTAACTGCTTCCACAGAAGAATTAATTTTGCATCATCTTGTGGTAGCGTGAGACAGAGATCACTCATCTTGTATGGAAATGATTGAAATTGAAATGATTGTATGGAAGAAGTTGTGCTTTCCAGTTCTGTTTGAAAATATTAGACAGAGATTAAGACTATGTTAGAGTGATTGTGATCGAATGTTTGATTCATCCAAACTCATTCACAGTGCATAGTATGAAGTGCAAAATTAAGTTTCTAGCCACTGAGTAAATATAGGCATATTTTGGTGTTTCTGTATGAAACAGCTTACAGTTTACTTAAGTATAATGGGAATGCAGGTGCGCAGACTGTGTCCTAAAATTTTGCATTAGCATTTGTTGCCTTCAGTTACTCTTTCATTTACAGGAAGATTCTACCTCTAAGATTTTAACTACATACTATGCATTGTGCCCCTGCTGAATTCTGGTTTGGATATTAAATTCATCTCATTTCTGTGCTGTCCAGTATCTATGGCATGTTCCCAAGGGAGAACGGCGAAGCCACAAGATTAGCTGATGGCTTTTATGCAGGGATTATTGGGACAACATGTCAAGAGAAATTTGCAATATATTCATGAAATCAATGATAAAATGAGTTTTGATGCATATGCTGAAAAATTATAATCTATAGAAGGGTGAATATTTACAAAAATGTGTTGCATATAAATTCAATGGCTCCTAGTTTTATAGGAGTAATGTTGCCAGGCATGTGTTTGGGTAATTATCACTGTTTTTATCTTAATTTTTAGGGAAGTATTTTTCTTAAATTTTTATCTGTTTCCTTTCTTTTGTTTTCTAATTAGAAATTCTATCCTTTTTTATTATCAAAGTATCAACATTCTTCAGATTATAGTCAGCTTTACAGGTTGTTGAAATCTAGATCTTTTGCTGCAGATTGGCATAGAAGCTATTTTTGAGAATAAATATAAAAATGATACTACAGTACAAAGTCCGTAATCTGGAGGTCTATTATCCGGAATGATCTATAATCTGGACCTCAAAGCCACAAATTTACGCATGCGCGTAAAGAATGCGCATACATTACACATGCGATTAATGTATGCTTTACGCATGCGTGTGTTGAAAGAAATGTTTAATAAAGTAAACAAATAAATATTAAGCTTTTTTTTTTTTTTTTTTTTTTTTTTTTTTTTTTTTTTTTTGTAAAATTTGATACCCTTTAGACCATAATTGCTCTTTATTTCATAAATTACAGTTTCATATTTTTTATTGTATAATTTCTGCAAGACATCTTACCAGATTTAAATTGATGATCTATAATCTGTAAAAATCCCTAATCCGGAATCGCCAAAGTCCCGACGAGTCCAGATTACAGACTTTGTACTGTATCAGAACACCAAACAAATTCTTAACACATACTGATTAACACATACTGATTTTAAAATAAATTTAAAGTTGAGCCAATACATTTAAAAACATTTCCAAAAATAAATATAATAAAAGCATTTCTATGAACCAAAATTAATTCCATATTAGGATGATAGAAAAATTATGAAATTTTCAGGTTCTATAAAAAAGAAAGGAAAATCTCTCATGTTCTTTGGTATGTAGAGATCTTCAGTGTATATTTCCTTTCTTGATTTGTTAATTTTTTTAATGCATTTGTAAAGAATTGTTTTAGGGATTTCTTTTAAAAATGAATCATGATGATTTGGTTATCTTCAATTGTGAGGAGTCTTCTTAGGAATTCTTTATATTGGAGGAGAAAAATTATATATATAAATTTTACAACCACATGTAGGCAGCAATTTTTACATCTTTATGAACAGAATGTATCTTTTTTTGCCTTATTTCCTTTCCCCCCCAAAAAAAAAGTATTAGGGAAGAAGGAAAAATATCAATTATCATCTATGAAACTCTTTTCTTTCAATTGAAGTATGTAAATTTGTATTTATGACATTTTTCATACTGAAATTTCATCTATGCAAATTTAATATATAAATTAAGCATTTAAACATGAAATTCAAATAAGATCTGAAATTATTTTTAGGTCCATTTTGCAAATAATTTTAAATAAGTTTTTTTAGTATAATTTTTTATTGGTGTTAGATAATGATCCTAATCAATAATCATTCAATAACTTTCATAATTCATTATAAACTATACTGTACAGCAGGGATGTCAAACTCATAAGTACACTTGGGCCAAACAACAACAAGGTTTAACTTTAGGCGGGCTGTAAAAAAAAAAAAAAAAAAAAAAAAAAAAAAAATCAATATTCATAGAAACGTAGATTTATTTCGAATAATACAATAATAAAACATATATATATATTTATATAGAAAAGAACAAGAAAAATTTAATGTTTACGTCCTGATACTTGACATCTCTTCTCTGCTATTATCTTTCCTATTTCGGGAGAAATTTTTTTTGCAGTGATAACTTTCAACGCTGACCCAAGGTGAGCATCATTAATACGGTTTCTAATAGGAGACTTATTACCTTTCATGACTGAAAATAACTGCTCGCACAGATAAGTGCTACCAAACATGGAAATAATTTCATATGCGAATTTTCGAGTATTTTCAAACCTGGCTGGTAAATATTTGTAAAATTCAGGCACGCCCACTTCAATGAATTTTGCTTTCAAATTTGAGTTGCATTGAATCTCGATCACCTCCATTTGCATATGGCTGGGTACTGAGTCAATACTTATTGAGAAAATCGAAAAAAAAAAAAGAGGGACCTCGTTTCAAATTCTGGCTACGGTAAAAAAACAACAGTCGCTAGAACTACAGCTACTACTGAGATGAGTTGTTTGTTCTCGGCTTTTATAAGCTTTATAATTAATTTCTCGAATATACTGGAAACATCTATAAATATCTGGATTTTTGTGGATGGCAACAGCAATTACGAGATATTTATTTATTAGGTATTAAATGCACGCGCTGTTCTATTTTTAACCTTCCAACGCAGCTGTCTTTTCAAAAATCGTCTGCGTTGCTAAGGCAACATGAAGCAAATCTAATTACAATTCTAAATAAAAAAAACTAAACTAAATAAATAACTATGAAATCCGTAACAATATGAATTAAGTAATAATTAATAATAAAGCAAAGTGCATGCACATGCATGCACCAATATATCGTACAAAACTATGATTGGAAAACTGAGACCATGAGTTCGGCCACATTCGGCTATCGGGGGATGCGTACAAGTTCTGAGTGCACGTGTCCCCCAAAAGCCGAAGGTAGCTGAACGCAAGCTACTCACACGCATTTGTAATTTAAGTAGTGTGTGTGTCAGCTCGCTGTGAGTAATCTAACAACACTGAATAAATTATCGTTAATTACTTAGCAGTAAACATTTCATTTTTTTCTTCGTCGATATGTTATTTTATTATTATATATTATTATTTGCCGATATATTGGCCGGGCCGCAAAAATATTTGTTGTGGGCGGGGCCCTTGGCTAAAATAGTCGGTTTTTTGCTACATCAATTAAATCCTTAAAAAAGAAAGTCGCTCCTGGAAGTAAAACAGCTTATATTTGAAGTGTTATCGTTTGAATTTTAAGAAAAGTTCTTAATTTCTGTGTTATATATTCCAATAAACAATAATTTAATTTTATTTACTTTATATATTTCATGTGTAATTTTTTTTAATATTTCATCTGTACATTCTACATTTATTTATTGAACTGTGAGAATGTGTTATTTTTTATAGAATAAAAGGCTTGTAAGGAAAAAATATTAGTGAAATACTGCATTTTTTGTAGTAGTTTATTTCTTCATGAGTTGTGACATTTATGTTATTGCACTCAGTAATCAAACAGTTTCATCCAATAATGATAAAATCATTGAAAATGTATAATAAAAATCATCCAATGTACTGATCTGATGTAATATGTGTATTGATCTCATTGAGTATTTAAAATTTTCTTCATTTGGAGCATTTACTCGAAGGAGGTACACAGAAATCATTCATTGTACTTTTTGGTAAGTGTTATGTCTTAACCATAGTTCTATAGAAAAAATACATATTGCACGTGCTGTTTTGGTTATATTGCACGCGCTGTTTGGCTGTTTTGGGGAGTTTTGTGTTCATATATCGATGTATACATGTCCACATGAGGAACAACATTTTTTGCCAGTTGAAGGCTTTTATCTTCCATTCATTGGCACCTTGTATAATGTCAATGGGCCATTTTGGCACATACAACGTCTGCATGTTTGCGTCTCATCTATCTGCCTCTACATTTTTGCTAGATATTTTCTGAGTGCTCTGTATGTATATATAATATGCATATATTTATATATATATATATCGGTAAAAGTAATTAAGAAAAATCTTAAATATAAACTCAATCTAAACCAAAGGGATAAGTGAACTTAGCAGCAACATTATATTAAATAATATTAAATACTAAAATTAAAACCTTCCGAAGTATTTGAAGAAAAAAAATGAGCCTAAACAGAGTACAACATCAGTCAACATTTTAAATGAGAGATTAACTTGAACAGTTTCGTACAGGAGGAGAAAAGGTGAAAAGGCATATATACGAAAAAGAGAGTTACATAATCACCACGTAAATAAGCATGAATGGCACGTGCATTAGAAGAGCTCTTAAGCTAAATGCTGTATATTTTATAATACAACAATCCCCTTTCGATATTTTACAGCTAAAAAATAAACATTGATCATTTACAGTCAATTCAATTAATCTATCTTATCTCTATCTGAGGCATTTTCTGTGTTAGCACATATTTGATAT